TTCTCAGTTATATCAAATTGTTGGAATCCTAACCCATTAGGATAAAAGATAAAGCAGAAAGATAAATGTTAGCCAGCCTGAAATCAGGTTGTTAATAAAAACAGCCAATGCTATTTTAAAACCTGTACTTCATGGATAAGCTAGTGCTTATAAGTCTATTTTCTAAAGCAGTTTGAATGTCAGTAAAGGTACTATGAGTAACTGACACTCTGCTAAAATAATTAAATCGACATAAATTATTTGGCATAACAGAAATAAAGTCGCTGTAATAGAACATTTTCATATGATCCATGAGTCATGCTTTGAAAATTAATCTTCTCCCTGTCTCAACATTTATTTCCCACAAATGCGTCAGTTTTGCTTCAGTATTTGTGCTATTGGAAGTATTATTCTTAGACAGCCTGGATGCCATTGGCATTATTTCTTAATTAAACTGTATTTTTCTGGTGGTGATAATAACTTAGGCTAACAAGAAACTACATTCAAAATCTTCCTCATCTTACTCACACAAGTAGTTTACTTTAATGTGACCACTCAGGCGAGTAAGGTGAGTGGGATTTGGCCCAAGAACGAGCATTTAAGCCAGGGTTCGGCAATCTTTGGCACGCGGCCCGTCAGGGAAATCCGCAGGCGGACCAGGACAGTTTGTTTACCTGCAGGTTCGGCCGATCGCAGCTCCCGCTGGCCGTGGTTCGCCGTTCCAGGCCAATGGGGGCTGCGGGAAGCGGCATTGGCCGAGGGATGTGCTGGCCGCCGAACCTGCGGATGCTGCAGGTAAACAAACTGTCCCTGCCCACCAGCGGATTTCCCTGATGGGCCGCGTGCCAAAGGTTGCTGATCCCTGATTTAAGCACATCAAGAGCAGTCTGGATATCAGCAGTGATACTGAATAGTAATATCAGACTAATTTCTGCTCTCTTCTATACTTGTGCTAAAATCAGTGGGATTTCACAGGTGTGAATGAGAGTAGAATTTGGCCCTTTATATTCTGGTAAGGTCTAACTTTTGTAACACCCTGTTATACAGCATCTTTTAAAAATGAAAACAAATGCTTAATTAATATATTACATTTGGTTGTGGAGCCTTTTATATTTGCATTATACATTAGAAGATCACAGTAGTTTCCCATTTTAGAGATACTAATACTTTTCCATGTCAGCTTTAACTTTGATGTCAGTTTTAACTATGATGCTATTAAACTATAGTATAAAACAAAAACCGGATCGTATCTGACAGGTTTGTTGCTCTGTGGAGTATATTCACACAACCTCTTGATACATAGGAACTGACAGGTCTTCCAATGGGAATTCAAAGGAACCTGAGAACAGTCTCTAATTCACATATGTGAGGATGTACCATTTTCTTTAGACTATGGATCCCCACTTAGAAGTAGTAGATGTGATTCTGATCTCACTCTGTTGTAGATTAGGAGTAACTATGGAAGTCAGCAGAGTTGTACCAGTGTAAACCTGGAGTGATATCAGAATCAGGCCAATAACTTTTAACATTCTAATCTTGACATAAATTGATATACATTTTGTACCATTTTGTTTTAAAGGATAGCGGATAATTTCTATGTTTGTGAAGGATACAGCATACCTCGTTGTCTACTTTATGAAATGTATATAGAGAATTGCACTCAGAATGCTCAGACTCAAGTAAATCCAGCTACATTTGGAAAGGTACAAAGCACATTGCTTTTATAGCATATATGGGGCTTAAGATAATGGGCTGAGACCTTGTGTAAATTCATAAAGAGACAGTTACTTGTACAAGGTTTGATCATGTTGCAAACTAAGGGAGCTTAATTTACAGACAAGGATAAGTAGTTATGCAATACGATACCTTCAATGTAGAATGCTGGGAGAGATTTTGTTTGAAAGCTGCTATCCTATCTCTTGGTATAATATCCTCTTTGGCTCGCTTGGGGAATTTTATCTGCATTATTTTCCCTCTGAGGTCAGGTCTACATTCAAAACTTTTGCTGGTATTGTAATGTTGATTAGAGATGTGATTTTTTTTAAATGATATTTCTGTACCTGCAAAAGCTCTAGACACAGCATAGATGAAATTATACAAGCAAAAAAGTCCTTTTGCTAGGACATCTTATTTTATTCTTCAAACTGGCATAAGAGTTAAATTGTGTATACAACAGGAAGGTTTGCCAATATAGGTATAGCTATACTAACAAACCTCTCAGGTGTAGACTGAAAACTTTGTATTTCATGTAAACAATTAGCACTATATTTTTTTATCCAAGGTTTGATGCTGGAAAGCATCCTGGTCTTCATGTTGTTTATCAGAATTTTTTTTTAAATTTACTTATGAAGATTTTGCTCCACACACAGAATGTGTGTGTGTTTATAGAATCATCCAAGCAAAGCAAGATGCAGGAGTAAAAAAAGTCCTTTAGACAGTGTCACTCTTCTAATAGTCTGGAGTTTTCATAGCCAACAGGGGAATTATCTTTTAAGACCCTAATCATTCAGTCCTAACAAACAGATGCATTCCTGCTTAACTTTATTCATGTGATTAAAGAAAAAAATAACATTTTTGACTATTGTTACTCTACACATTTTTTGCTCAAAATTTCCCACTATTGCTACCACTGGTGCAACTCCACTGGTATTCAAGCTGTTAGGCCTTGTCTGCACATTAACTTGCCGCTGTTTAATTAGAAGTATTTTTTTTTAATCGGTTTAGTTTAGTTGTATACGTTGTATGTAGCTATTCTTATTTCAGTTTCAGAGTAGTTTATTGTTGTTTCACAGGATTAAGCTAAATCAAAATAAGCAATTCTTAAACCAAAATATGGCACACAAACTTGCATTGGTTTAATTAAATGGGTTTTAGAAGACACATTTTGTTAAACTGGTGCAAATTGGTGTGTAGACAAATCAAGGGATGAAATCCTTGTCTCATTGAAGTGAATGGGAATTTTATCATTGACTTCATTGCAAGGATTTCACCCCAAGACCTTTAGGGTAGGTCTATGGTGGAATAAAAGACCTGTGGCATGGCTGCTGAGCTGGCCCAGGTCAGCTGACTTGAGCTCGTAGGACTCAGACTGTGGGGCTAAAAATTGCTGTGTAGACATTTGGGCTTTGGCCAGAGCCTGGGTTCTGGGACCCTCCCCATTTATGGGGTCCCAGAACTCCGGCTCCAGCCCATGCCTGAATGTGTACACAGCAGTTTTACAGCCCCGCAGCCCAAGCCCCATGATTCCGAGTCAGCTGACCTGGGCCAGCTGTGGGTGTTTAATTGCTGTATAGATAAAGCTCCTTTATTTTTACTACTGTATCATCTAACTCAGTTTAGATCAAATAGAGGTTACACAGTGGTAAAAATGCTGGCAGACACTGCCAACCTGGTTGCATTAGAACTCCCATCATTACTACCAATGTGGGAGCTGCATCTTAGGGCAACTGAGCAAAAAAGGCTAGTGTAGACAAGGCCTTTGACACCAAACAACTTCATACCTGATTCATTTTGTTCCTATCCTGCACAACAAAGACTCCCAAGGTTTATCTAGAGTAGATGCATTGTGTATTTGATAATCTGTTCCTGTTCTAAAGAGGAAAAGTGGAAAAGTAGCATGAGCTCTCCTGTTTTGTCTGTAGCTTTATAAGATAGCTCATACTCATGCTGTGTGTGTAATAATAACAATTTGGATTATTACACTTACAGTATTATTACTTGGTGCTAATCTTGAGAGGTGCTGAATGATTTCAATTCACATTTCCTTCAATATGAGCAAAGAGGATACTCAGCAACTTGATGAACTTGATAAAAAAATTGATAAGTCAAACCCGATCCTGCAAACATTAGTTACGTGAGACGGCTAACTGAAGTAATTGGGGCTCCTTGTGTGAGTAAGAACTACTTGACTGAGTAAGGCTTGCCAGACTGGGCTTCATATTGGCAACATATTGGTGATGCACACCAGCTAATTCAGCAATTACTATTTGAGTGTTATTGGGAGAACAGGTATCACAGCAGTTTGTGTGTGTGTGGGTGGGGGGGGGGTGTAGATGCAGTAGTGGAAACAATTAGAGGAAACCAAATCAGATAAATCTTTATATGTTAGTATGACTTGCCCAGATAACTCTTATCTTTTGTGTTTCTTAGCTTGTTCGCTTAGTTTTCCCAGATCTGGGGACCAGAAGGCTGGGCACAAGGGGAAGTGCCAGGTATTATTTATTTATTTTATTTATTACTTTATTTAAAAATGTTAATTACACTCTTTTGGGGGGGAAGGAACAGAAATAACTGTATCCTCAGCTCTGTTAACTTGAGACACTGCTCTACTCCAGCTGAGGTTCTTGTTGAATGTCTGTAATAAATCACAAGAACAGCTCTATTGTGATTGATGGTGTTACCAGTAAACTAAAATAGGATTAATTTAATGAGTCACCATATCCAAGCTGGTTTTTAGCATATGAATTCAAGAGAATTTTAATTTTCAAAACTTAAAAAACACTATTTAAAATACTCTTGTGCTTTTGAAGCACCGGCTTGTGTTGGGAGGGTGCAGAAGCTCACTACCCTAGTAAGGCAATTCAGAGGCATTGTGTCTGAGGGATTCATGTGATCAGGTAAGCCCAAGGACTCTTATTTTGACCAGCCCTATGCAAGAGGCCCTAAAGGTAGGGAGTCTCTTCTGTCCCTGCACACCCATTGAGTGGCCCTTCACAATCTGGCTCATAATGGAATTGTTATAAACTGTTACTGCAGTGGTCCCCAACACGGTTCCTGTGGTGCCGTGGCGCCCACCGGGGCATCGATGTGTGCCCGCATACTGGCCGGCGGACGAGCATCCGCTGAAATGCCGCCGACAAGCAGTGTCATCCAGAGGTGTCGCCGCCGAAATGCCGCTGATTTCGGCAGCGACGCCTATTGACGTTGCTGCTTCTCGGCAGCATTTCGGCGGATGCTCGTCCGCTGCCACGGTCCTTGGTGGCTCGTCGTCTGGCGCCCGCCAGACAAAAAAGGTTGGGGACCACTGTGTTACTGGCTCCCTGATGGATTTCCCCCTGCCACACACCCGTACAGAGCATGGAGAGAATTGAGTCCCATTGACTTTTAATCCATTGATTTAATGTCCAAATTCATAACCGCTGAACAGAAGAAAAAAAAGATTTTTAAGGCCTTCACGTATGCCAATTGCATGAGCGTTTTGCTTAATGAAGATGAAAGGACTGCAATTAAAATACTGATTCTGAGAGTTGCATATGTTTACTTTGATCTTCTCACAAATCTTCTGCATCAGCCTGGCCCCATCACTTTCAATTATTGCGGTGCCATTCTCACATTAGATTTTTGACTGATACACATGGTTGATGCTAGAGAAAACTAGGTCCTTTACACCAGCATAGGATCAGCTCAGTGAAGCTCTGAAATACACCTACACACCCAGTCTGACACATCCCCATACCTGGGATTAGGGGTGGCTGGTACACAAACTGCCTACACTGGGTTTATGCCATGCACTCAAATCGGGGGGACCGGATAATTTCTGCCACAGAATATTGAAGGAACTGGCACAGAGGATTACTATTATTGCACCAAGGATTTTTAATAAATCTATCTATTTGGGGGTAGTACCATATGACTAGAGAATAGCTAACATCATACCTATTTTTAATAAAGGAGAAAAAATGTGATCTGGGCAATTTTTGTCTGACGTTATTGGTATGCAAGATTTTAGAACAAATTGTGAAGGAAAGAATAATGAAATTCATAGAGGTAAATGGTAAAGGGAGTACAATGCAACATGGATTTATCAAAGAAAGATCATGCCAGAGTAACCTGATTTCCTTCTTTGAGAAAATAATGTATTTTTTAAGGGGGGGGGGGGAGGAAAAATGCAGCAGGTCTAAATTATTAGTTAAATTAGGGATGATGCGGCTCAGTACAAACATAGTAAGGTGGATAAGGAATTGGCTAAACTGGAGATGGCATTGCGTTGTGCTGAAAGGTGAATTATTGGACTGGAGGGAAATTACTCATGGAGTTCCTCAAGGATCAGTCTTGGAACCAATCTTATCCAATATTTTTATTAAATACGAAAAGTAGGAGTGTGCTAGTGAAATTTGCTGATTATACTAAGTTGGGAGGCAGCATCAATACACAGGAGGATTGGAACATACAGGAAAATCTAGATGATCTTGAAGACTCAAATAACAGAAATGGGATGAAATTCAATAGTACCAAGTGCATACACTTAAGGTTTAATAATAAGAATTTCTGCTATAAGATGGGAGCTTTTAGTTGGAATCAACAGAGGAAGAGAAAGACCTGGGTCTGTGGGTTGACCACAGGATGACAATGAGCCACCAATGTCATGCAGCTGTAAAAAAGGCAAATGGAAAATATGATCCTAGGATGAATTAGGCAAGGCCTTTCCAGTAGAGATAGAGAAGTATTAATGCCATTGCACAAGGTGCTGGTAAGACCTCACTTGGAATATTGTGTACAATTCTGGTCACTCATGTCCAAGAAAGATTAATTTAATCTGGAACAGGTGCAGAGAAGAGCTACTAGGATGATAGGGGAATGGAGGATCTATTTTATGAGAGTAGACTGGATGAGCTCAGCTTGTTTAGCAAAAAGAAGGCTGAGAGAAGATATGATTGCTCTCTATAAATACATCTGGGGATTAAATATTAGGGAGGGTGAAAAGCTATTTAAGCTAAAGGACAATGTTGGCATTAGAACAAACTGGCCATGAACAAACACTAACAATGCCTGCATCTGTAATTTTCACTCCATGCATCTGAAGAAGAGGGTTTTTTACCCACGAAAGCTTATGCCCAAATAAATCTGTTAGTCTTTAAGGTGCCACCAGACTCCTCGTTGTTTTTATGCTCAGAATTGGGCCCACTAAGTATTGTTTACTGTCCAATATGTATCAGGCAAAAAGCCAGTGAGGAAATAGCACTTCAGAAGCTGTACAGTGGCATGACAGCAGTGGGAACAGTGGTTCCACACCACCCCAGTATCAACAAGAAGTGCCAGTGCTCAGTGCGGGATTTCAAAAAACAAGAGATTGAATTCCTCAGGTAGCAACTGGACAAGTGGTATCCTTAACTGGAAGTGGTTTTAATCTGCCATGGCTGGAGAACAGAGGCCAGATCCTCAGTTGGTATAAATTAGTGTAACTCCACTGAAGTAGCTCCTTTGACTTCAATGAGGATCCTGCCCTAGACTCTGTGCTTCTGCTGCATTGGTTGACTGCACTCCCCACACTGCTCTAGGGTTGATAGTTTTTAAAAAACAAACAAACATTTTATTATTAAATTACAACGCTGTTTTAAAAAGTGATTGTAAAGTTATTTAAAAAAAAAGTTTGTCAAAATTATGTGCTTATCAAATATTAGATTTAAATAAGATTTAAACAATTTTTAAAATAAATACAGGTTTCCATCTATTGTTTTCTTATTTCAAAAGAATTACGAGCTGCTTGCAGAATATAGATGTGAGTTCAGTGATGATTTGGTCCTGCAAACTGTATACTTGTCAGTCCATCACATTTTGTATTTTTTTAGGTATCACTACGATGGAATACATATCAAGAAGAGCTCTTCCTTCTATGCTCATTATTGCTATCTTCTGGCTGAAAAAAAAAATCACAGGTTTGGTTTTAAATGTTCTTAATGATAAAAGGTGCATTAATACAATTTTCTTTAAAATCTACTTCATTGCCTACTGAAAATTGATAACAGAATTGCATTTTCCTATAATAATGCAATCTAATTAAATGTTGTCATTAATACCAAGGCTCCCTTTTAAAAAAGTGGCAGTTGCACACCTAATTGAACACAAAATCACACTTCCATGCACTTGACATTTTCAACAGATGGCTCTTAAGTGCAGGAAATCTATGACAAAACTAAAATAAGAGCTTAAAAATGCTGAGAAACTAAATAAGAGAAAAATATAAGTGGTCAGCACCAGTGGTGTGAACACTTATTTAATCATGCTAGTGCATCTTGATTGCTAAGCCTCACAATTTAAGCAATGTATTTGCACTTATAGTAATGGGGATTTATTTAAATGTATTCTATTTGCAGTTCTTTGTTTTCTGTTTCTTACCATTCAAATTAATGAGGGATAGTCTTTAATTTGAAAAGGCCTACTTTGTTTTGGTTTCCTTTATATTACAGTTTTAGAGAGTTAAAAAGACAGCCACAAAAAGGGTGCAACTGTGAGAAAATACATACAACAAAAGAGAAATTAAACGTGAAAAATAAAACAGTCTAAAAATATGGTACCATGTAAGTCACTTCTGCAGACTCTTGTCTATGGGCAAAGGGCTTGATCCTGTCCCACTGAAGTCAATGGAAGTTTTGCCATCGACTGCAATAGGAGCAGGATCCGATCCACAGTTCTCTACCATGAGTAGTCCTGAGTACTCATGGCAGTAAGCACTATGCCTCCTATTATTTCCAGGATCAGGCCAATAGTTTAAATAAGCAACTGTTGGGCTGATTCTCCACTGACTTGCACTTTCATGCCTGTGCAAAGTGGATATAAAATGCTACGAAATCAAAGTTCACTCTTTAACAGTATTTGCACCCATTTCTCATTCACTTGCTACAGGAGGGATTAGGATGTCCCAGCAGATAGGGTGCTAGGCTGTGACTAAAGAGACTAATTCTCTGCTCCTCCACTGTCTTCCTGCATAACCTCGGGCAAATGGCCATTTAGGGTATGTTTACACTGCAAAAAAAAACAACAACCCTGCGGTTTGAGTCCAGGTCAACTGACTGGGCCTTGTGCTCCGGGGCTAAAAATAGCCATGTAGATATTTGGGCTCAGGCCAGAGCCTGGGCTCTGAAATCCGCGGAAGGGATGGTCTCAGAGCCCAGACTCCAGCCCGAGCCTAAATGTCTACATGGCTATATAACCCTGCAGCACAGTTTACCCAAGCTCTGAGACTCACTGCCGTGGGTTTCTTTTCTTTTTCTTTGGTTGCTGTTTGCAGTACAGATGTACCTATAGTCTCTCTGTGCCTTCACCCCTCATCTGTAAAATGGGGATAATATCACTTCCCTACCTCACAGGGGTTGTGAGGATAAATACATTAATGACTGTGAGGCGCTCAGATACTATGGTAATGGGAGCCATATACATCCTTATGATACTATAAATGACTATATGAGATGCAAGGGAATGGAAAATTAGACCCCATCACTTTGACTGTGCACCCTGTTACACAAGTTTTACAGCAGTGTAACCGTACTGAAGTGAATGGAGTGATGCTGGCATAAAACTGGTGGAATGGCGTGAAGGATCAGGCTCTGTAGCTGATCAACTAACAAATACTTATTCGGAGAATAAACAAATTGTTCTTAGAGAGTCCCAAATTCAAATAGTATCCATAGCTACCTATAGACATGGGTTTAGAACAGCCACCATGGGGAGCTCGCCTCCTGGTTCCTGTCTAGGAATGTGGCAAATAAGTGCCTCAGTCTGCAGCTCCCTTGTCCTCCAGGAAAAGAAGTAACAGTTCTAGTCACTGTACTCCTTAGCTCTTTCCTATTGAAGAAACCACATCCAACTGGCACTGCCTCCGTTGCTGGGCTTGGCTTAGCCACAGGGGGCGCTGCTGTGTAACAGCGCCAGCAGCACCTGCTCCAGCAGCATTTGTCTCTGGCTTCCCTGCAGTTTGTCCCTCGCCCCTAAAACAAACAGCTGAGATTGGACCTCAAGACCTGCAGATCTAGGTGTTCTGCTGGAGGCTACCTGTTGGAAACTTTGTGTGACTACAGTGACTGTGGGGCCCCCTGTTCCCTTTTTCATCTCCCTGCCAAGGATATGCTTAGCCCCTGAAAAACAGTCTCTCCTTTGGTCACCCTGGTGATCAAGAGACATGCCTCAGAAAGAGGGCTGCTATCAAAATGACAATGTAGCAACCTCTTTCCAGTTTCAAGAGAGAGATTTTGAGATTTTATAAATCTAAATAAATAAAATAAACTCTTCTTCCTGGTTATAACAAAGAGAAATACAACAGTGTGATCATGTTTGTCCTAATAGTATTAACACACTTTCACAGGCCTCCACATTGAGTCCATTACTTTCTGAAAATCACCATCATCTTACATATGGGGTCTAATTAAAGCTGATAAAAAACTGGTAAAATATTTCACTTAAAAAAAAATTTACATCAACATTTTCAAAAAATCCAAAAATTCCAACAAACTTTATAGCTATTTGTAACCCCCCAAACCCTCCAAAAACCATCATGAACATTTCATCATTTTTTAATTATTTTAAATATTTTTGGCAAAATATATAATAAAAATATCAAAATATGAAAGACTGGAGTTGGAGATTTCCAGAATCTGGTGTGATTAATTAATACATTAATGTAGAAGAAGATCTTAACATTTTCTTCTAAATACTGGAAATTAATCTTGTATCTGCTACGGAATCTAATCTTAATGCTCTTTATATAAAACTGTTTATATTGCTCCTCCAACTGGAAGGAGTCTAAGGGTATGTCTACACTACGAGAGTACTTCGATTGTACTTAAATCGAATATGTGGAATCGATATTACAAAGTCGAACGTGTGTATCCACACTAAGGACAGTAATTTGACTTTGTGAGTCCACACTAATGGGGCAAGCGTCGACATTGGAAGCGGTGCACTGTGGGCAGCTATCCCACAGTTCCTGCAGTCCCCGCTGCCCATTGGAATTCTGGGTCGAGCCCCCAATGCCTGCTGGGGAAAAAAATGTGTCGAGGGTGGTTTTGGGTAATTGTCGTCATCCAACCGTCACTCCCGCCCTCCCTCCCTGAAAGCACCGGCGGGCAATCATTTCGCGCACTTTTCTGGTGAGTGACAGCGCGGACGCCACAGCACTGCAAGCATGGAGCCCGCTGCGACCATCACTGCAGTTATGGCCGTTGTCAACACCTTGCACCTTATCATCCACCTTTTCCATAGGCAGATGCTGAGAAATCGGGCGAGGAGGCTACGGCAGCGCGGTGAGGACATGAAGTCTGAGAGTGGTACAGACCTCTCACAAAGCACGGGACCCCGCGCCGTGAACATCATGGTGGCAATGGGTCATGTTGATGCTGTGGAACTGCGATTCTGGGCCGGGGAAACAAGCACGGAGTGGTGGGACCGCATAGTGCTGCAGGTCTGGGATGAATCACAGTGGCTGCGAAACTTTCGTATGCAGAAGGGAACTTTCCTGGAATTTTGTGAGTTGCTGTCCCCTGCCCTGAAGCGCAAGGACACCCGGATGCGAGCAGCCCTGACTGTCCAGAAGCGAGTGGCCATAGCCCTCTGGAAGCTTGCAACGCCAGACAGCTACCGGTCAGTCGCGAATCACTTTGGCGTCGACAAATCTACCGTGGGGGTTGCTGTGATGCAAGTAGCCAGCGCAATCGTTGAGCTACTGCTGTCAAAGGTAGTGACCCTTGGAAACGTCCAGGTCATCATAGATGGCTTCGCCGCGATGGGATTCCCAAACTGCGGTGGGGCTATAGAT